TATGAACTTATGATAATACTTCAATAAGATCGAAAATAACTCACCACCAAGTTTAAAATCACAAAAGGATACAAAAAGTTCACCACCCCAAGGAAATTAAATAAGGATACAGAACTGAAAATAAAAGACTTATACTCAAGGAAGTATTCAAGAGATACAAAGTTTAAGGGAGAACTCCAAGAGAGCTTCTGCCAAAATATCATTAGTTTTTAAAAAGTCATTTTTAAGCCCTAAACATCAAAATAAGTATTAGTACATGAAACAACCTTTCAAGGAATTTCAAAATTAAATGTTTTACAATTACGCTAACCAACTCTATTACTTAGTCATGAAGAAAAACACATTGAAATAGTTTTAACTTTATATAGGGAATATGTTGATAAGCTGTCATATTTGAATGGGTTGAGTTGAAGATTATAAGGCAATATTGTTGACTAAAAAAAATATCTTATCATCAACCATCAACAAGATCCATATGAACATATTATAATAAATTAGACACTCCCGTGTCATTACTAAAGTGTACAAAAAGCTATTAAGAATCTTAAATTTTGATTGAATCTATGATCAGTTGCTTGCCACAGAACATCTTAACAAGTAAAAAGGAATTAAATAGGTTATAACGACTGACATTTTCTTTAATATCAGAACAAAAATATCATAAATAATTAAAACTGATAATATTCTGAATTTTTTAATTGATATAACAACCATTCATTTAAGTCTACATTGTTTTGAACATTCATCAATCCATGGGCTTTGTCATCTACAGAAATGAATCTAATTAAGATAAAATTCCACTTGTTATAACTCTTGATACCACGAAGTGATTGGAACGACATGGAGTCAAACCCCATTTTTGATACCACCTCGCACCATATAAGGTCGTCGCTAAAACAGTGAATAACCTCAAAAAGATCTTGTTCGTCATCAGAGAAGACAGTGGCGGTTTCTTGGCAAGACAAATACTTGAGATGCGGCAATGGTAGATGTAAGAAGATCGTCATGCCGTAGCGACTTTGGGTAATCAATGACGCGTGCTGCGCTCCTCATCAAACACAACAGACGCATGGGGAAGCAACAGAGAAAAAGAGAGTGAGGTTACATCCATGCAAACGTTTGTGGAGATTAATCATGTACTCCCTCGTGACCACCACCTCTTTCCTCCCTTTGCCTGCCTTCTCCACCATCTTCTTTGTCGTCGCCGCCGTTGCTCTCTGCCGAAATGAACCCTAGCCTCTGCCCACAAGTCAGCCGGACAAACATGGATGGATGAGTTCAATAGCGATTGGATGCCCAAATCCCGAGATTACCCTCCTGTCTGTTGGAATTAAACTTGTTCAAGAGGCATAAAAAGGTTCATTGCATCAAGTGGGAGAATCATTACATCAAGAAGAAAAAATGAATTAAAAGTCTATAGAAGGATAAGTCAAATTGGTTATTGGTTCTTGAAAGGGTTTCTTGAAAGAGAATGATTCATCTTGAATATAATTAATATAATGTATCTTTGGGGACTATATAAACCCCATATGATGGGTCATAAGTGAAATAGAGTTTCTGAAATTGTAAAAGTATTTTTCTTGAGAGAAATATAGAAGATTGAAAGCTTGTCATACTCTTCCTCTATTTTGATAACTCCATCCCCTCTTCCTATCAACATCAACATTTGGTATCAGAGCCAAGTTATGGCCTCTTCCTCAAGTGCCATCCAACTCCAGATCCCTAGATTGACAAAAAAAATTATGACATATGGTGCATCCAAATGAAAGTTCTTCTAGGCTCCC